TTTTAACAGCTGTTCCTGGAATTGCTGGGATGTTGCATCCGGAGGCTTGTAGACTACCACAATGACTAGGTTTTGGTTCTCGACCTTTACTGCTAAAACTTCCACTACGTCATTTGAGGCATTAAGCAGTCTAAGTAATTTGTTAAGAAAAATGTCTGTCCAGTCATCAATACCATTGGCCTTGGAGAATTCTGTAGGCCAGTCAACAGTCTCTAGGTCAGCTGTGAACTTCCTTATTGAGGCCTCATCATGGAGTCTAAATGAAACTTTGTTGTATTCAAGTGGTGGTTTACTAATGTTTGTCAAGAGGAAGATAGGGTAGTGGTCTGTAGTGCTATCTGTGATTATCCCTGATTTAAGGGGGGCTAGTATATTGGTCCATATGTGGTCTATTATGGTTGCACTTGTCTCAGTCAGCCTGGTTGGTTTAGTTATTGTTGGTATGAGAAGTGTGTTGTTCATATTGTTGATGAAATCAGTTACAGGCTGATCATCTAGTTGGCCGAAGTTGATGTTGAAGTCTCCAGCTAAGAGAAGGTGGTGCTTATTCATTTGTCTGTTTGTTATTAGTGCCTTTAGTTTCTCACTGAAATTTGGGATGTTTGTGTGGGGTATCCGGTAAATGGCACCAATTGTTATAGGTGTCTTAAGGTTTTTTACAGTAAAATTAGCAAAAATGTATTCTCCATATTCATCACTAAAGCAAGTGGTGCTAATACAAGATAATTGGTTAGAGTAATAGATTGCAATACCACCCCCAACTTGGTATGGTCTGCAGTTGTGGATTGCTGTGTATCCTGGTAGAGGGTAGGTATCTATTATGTCCTGCTTAAGCCAGGTCTCAGTAAGAATAATGCAGGAGAAGGGTGTCTTTAGTGATTCAAGGAGTGCCAGGAGGTCATCATAGTGTTTGCTTAAGGACCTAATGTTGTAGTTAAGTACTGATAGACTTTTAGCATTGTTTAGGATAGTGGTGGCTTGTGATGCTGTGTAGTAAAGGCAGTTACTTTCCAATAGGTTTTGATTGTGTGTCAGATTATGGAGGTTTAGATCAGGGTCAACGTGATCAATCATCTTCTAGGTTTAAATTATGGTTATTTATATGCTGAGTTGTGGGTTGAGTTTTAGTACTGATATCTGTAGTGGTGGGAAGCTTGGATAAGTATATAGCTATAGCATTTTGGTCATGTAGAGTATAGTCACTAATACACATAATGGAGTTGGTGTTGTCTATGTGTTGTGCTGGAATGAGCTAAAGTACAACTAAGTTTAATCTAATAATATAAAAATACAAATTAAAAATAGCACCAGACTCTCACTAGTAATTACACTATGGTCTAATATAATGAATTTGGTATTGACTATGTATTGAGCGAGAATGAGCTATAGTACAACTGAGTTTAATTTAATAATATAAAAAAGGCACAAGACTCTCAGTTGTAATTGCACTAAGGTCTTATATAAGTTGTTTACAAGAATTGGAGTATAACTAGATTTAAATTGACAAGATAAAATATGCAAGTTAAGGTAGCAAAATAAAAAAAAGTAGAAAAAAAAAAATATATGAGGTAGTTGGTACTAGTTAGCAAAAGATAGTTAAGGGCCTTGAACAATAATATAATTGAAATATACACTAATTGCACACACAATATAGTCACTAAGATATGAAAACAATCTTAGAATAGGACTTATAATGTAAACTTATAATATAAAAATACAAATTGAAATGGTACTTGCAATTGCACTAGAGTCTGGTATAGGTTGTTGACAAGATCAAGAGTATAACTAGATTTAAATTGACAAAATAAAATTCACAAATTAAAGTACCAAAAGAATAATAAGTAAAAAATAACAATGGCAATGTCTTGGTTATAATATGATAGTAAGATGGTAGACAGGTACACAGGTACAAAGGATAATATAAAGGTTGGAGTTGAATATACAAACTTGGAAAATTGGCAACAAAATGTTATGGGAAGTATAAAATAATGATTAATGTACAAAAGTAAAATTGACTGGTAGTAAATATGGTGTTTAATAAAATTTTAGTAAGTAATAATGATTACAAAATAAGTGAAAAAGTAATGTTTATTTCTTTCAAAATTGCACTGGTAGTTATACTTGAGGTTATTTTGGGAGTACAAGGTAATTAAGAGTACTCTAAGATAGTAAATGTGGTATTAAAACTGGTTAAGGTAATTAGACAAGTAATGATTATTAAATGATGTCAAAAATGTTAAGAGTAAATTGTATTGATAGTAAAAATGGTAATTATTAATTTTATTAAGTAATATCAATTGATAGTATTTAAAAATAGGTAGTAATATGGACAGAGAAAGTATCGATTCAGCTAATATTTAAGCAAACAATAGTAAATAAGAAAATTAGATAAGGTGACTTATGCTTACTAGTAAAATCACAAAATGAGGTAGTTGATTATTTAATTACTAAGAGATTGTACTACAAGATTTGAACAATAATGGAGCAAAACATACACTACATTACATAGGCTTTTAGGTTGGACATTTAGTTATTCTCTGTAAGATCAGTATCCCTGAGAAATCGTGATAGATCATTCTCGTTCGTGATTGTGTACAGTTGACCTACATTTGTTTTCCTAACTAGAATTTTCCCATCCCGTGTGAAGCTTTGGGTGTATTGTGTCATTATTCTCCCGCTTAAGTTTTCTGACTCTATATAGGAGGTTCTGACGTTTTTTGGTAAGACACTCGTTTATGTATGATGGAGTGAATGATGAAAGTTTTTCTTTTTCGGGCCACGCTGCCTTGGTGGGAAACTGCCGATATGTTAATAAAAAAATGAAAAATATTTTAAAGGCACAACTTGCTTTTATAGAAAAAAGAAGTCAGGTGTGGGGAGAGGTCAGATGTAGTGGCTGTAGTTCATTTCTGACAGTTGGTCTCGACAAAAGGCTTTCCTCAACAACTGTAATGTTAAGGGTTGGATCAATTGGAAAATTCCCTTGTTTTACACTGTTTTAAGCTGTATTAACCCTTTCATTGTCCAGAACCCTGATCTGAAACCTGTCCACAGCATCATTTTCAAAAAAAGTTTTTGTTATTTTTTTATGAAATAGTAGAAAATCATTTTCTGACGGAAATAAAACAAAAGGTACAAAACTTGATGGAAATTTGACAAAATTATGCTTTTGTGAATTTTACTGACAGTGATATTTATGCATCAGCAATTTTGCCCACTTTGAATCTTATTTTAGGTCAATTACATTGTTCTAATAGACCAAATTCTTAGCTATTTCGCTAGTATGTCTTCCATTTTATCGATTGAGCACAAGAAACTGCCCAGTCAACTATTTCAGCTATCCAATAAAGTGATCAGAAATTGGTAATTTGGCCAATTTCACACAAATTGCAAAATATGCAAGTTTCAAAATAGTGTCCAGAATAAACAATGCAGGCATTCCTGGTACTAAAATAATATTTCCTCTGTTCATTAGTTACATTTCCAGGCTTTACACATGAATTCCATTTAAAATTTTTATTCACACAGGAAAAATAGAAGATTTACTGTTATATCTTATTGTAATAATTGTATTAATAATGTCATGACATTTGTAAATGCATATTAGACCCAACCAGTTGGACGTGTTTTGGACGAATGATGTGATTTATTTACTCGGGAATATCAGCAAAAATTTAACGTCCTACTACTATGGGCTCGATTTCAAGCTACTTTCAGTCTAGAAATCAATCAAAATCATCTCTAGATCTGTAATATATCTTCCATTTTACCAAATGAGTCCAAAAAACTAAGAATACAACTGTAAAAACCATCCAAAAATATACTACGAGGTCACTATTTTAAACCAATAACCTGGTTGCAGTTTTTCCCATTATGCACCGAGTTGAGCAGGATTATTTTTATATGGTACACACTTACCTCATTGACCCATTCTCTCATATCTGGGCCCAAACTTACTGCTCACTGCTTATCTGAGCGAGCTGAGCTCATGGCGTAGTACTATGGCAAGGACAGAGACTGCAAACCCTTAAAACTACGGCATGGACAGAGATTGCAAACCCGTAGAACTATGGCATGGACAATGAAAGGGTTAAGTTGTATTAGACCATTTTCTAGGTTATTAGGTAAGGCAACAAATTTGACAGAAAATGTTTAGAAAGCACTCTCCTGCAAGACTTGCATAGCTGGGAAGCAGTGGAATCATACTGGCAACTTCATGAATGAAGATTTTTTTGGTCATTGAAGGACAGAACTTACTGATCACAGCTAGAAACATTGCATCATGAATCTTTGCTGACAGATCAGACAGTGCAGATGCAAAGGACATCTCTTACCATCACTCCAAGCTGGTCCAGATCAAGGTTTCTGTACTTAGAGAAAGTCAGTATGCACTCACAGGAAGGCAGTACTGAAATATGAAGACTAAAAGTAACAATACTATGAACAGATACAGTAATACATGTATTGAGAGATATTACCTCTTCATCCATATTGCTTCAAGAATTAGCAGTAGATAGAACCAAGTACTTAATTTAATGGACTTTGGAAATAGAGGACAAAATCTGCTGGGTCAGTTGATTCAGGAACAATGGACAAAGTCCATTGGTTACAGAATTGTATGTTATTGTTATGATCATGGCAAAACAATTTTTGTCTGTCCACCACATTCATCATTGCTGGCCACCTGCTTCCTTTCTATTAATCCATTAAATCAAGAGTTTACTGGATATTTTAAAGGTTTTTAAAATTTCCAGTAGTTGTTATTACTTGCTATCTCTTATAACCTATTGAATAATTCTGAAACACTGCTTCCAAAGTAGTCTATCAGAGCTCTTCCTTACTTTACGGCTGTGGCCTCTTATTCTGCCTGTTAAAGTTGTTAGCACATCATGATCATTTCATTAGTATCCTTTTATAATTTTACATGTGGTTATTATGTGTCATCTTTTTCTGCTATGTCATGTAAAGCAGTATGAATATTTTGATTGTGCTTTTAATAGATTGACTCATCACTGAAGAAGGATAAGCTGCTGGTGTTCTTCAAGATGAAACCTAATGTGATAACTGCTGATAACCTTGCTGACATTTTTGTATCCTCCATGATTGACTCTCCCATTTCCTCACTCTACCATTCTCTTCAAAAGTTATATGCACCCATACTGTTAAAGGTAAGCCTGGAAGAGTGACCTTAGTACAGTTTTTAAAATGTAGGATAGTAGGCATGTATTTTTAACCCTTTCAGGGTCCAAGGCCCAAATCTGGAGTCACGCACCAGTGTCCAAGAATTTTAAAAAAAAAATTTTGTTATTTTTTCTTATGAAATCGTAGAGAATCTTTTTGTGAAGGTAATAAAACAAAAAGTACGAAATTTGGTGGAAAATTGACGAAATTATGCTCTCGCGAATTTTGATGTGTCAGCGATATTTACGAATCGGCGATTTTGCTGACTTTGACTCCCATTTTAGGCCAATTACATTATTCCAATCAACCAAATTCTTAGCTATTTCACTAGTATTACTTCTATTCTATCGATTGAGCACAAAAAATTGCCAAGTCAACTGTTTCAACTACAAAATAAAGTGATCGGAAATTGTTAATTTGGCCAATTTAACACAAAGTTCAAAATATTCCAATTTCAAAATAGGGTCCAGAATAAACAATGTAGGCATTCCTGGCACTAAACTAACATTTCCTCTGTTCATTAGTTATGTTTTGAGGCTTTACAAATAAAGTCCATTTTGATTTTTTATTCACATAATAAATTTTTATTCACACCAAAAAATAGAAGATTTACTGTTATGCAATACTGTAATAATTGTATAAATATCATCACCATATTTGTGAATGTATATTAGACCCACCAGCTGACGTGTATTAGACGTGTGAGGTCGTTTGTTTACTCTTGAATATCGGCAAAAATTTAACATTTCCGCTACTTTGAGCTCAGTTTCAAGCCATTTCCAGTGCTAAAACCAATCAAAATCATTTCTATTTCTGTAATATGTCTTCCATTCTATCAAATGAGACCAAGAAATCGCAAATACACCTATAAAAAACATATGAAAAAACACTGCAAAGTTGCTGTTTTAATCGAAAAATCATGATTTCAGTTTTTTTCTCTCATTATACACAGCGTGCTGCAGGATCTGTTTTATGTGGTGCACACATACCACATAGATGTATTCTCTCATATCTAGGCCCAAATGTACCACTCACAGTTTATCAGAGTGAGCTGAGCTCATGGCGTAGATCTACGGTTTGGACACTCACCATAAAGCCGTAGATCTACGGGACGGACCCTGAAAGGGTTAAACTTGATGTGTGGTACAGGGACATTGTTCTTACAGTAATTCATAGTTAACTGTAGAGTTGGTGAATCTTTTCTTTATAAGAATGGCATCCTTAGAGTGAAATTTAATAAAATTTCAAAAATCCAAATGCATTTTGAACCAAATCTACTGTACCAATTTTTTTTTTAACACTTCGGCTGTCTCCCACCGAGGCAGGGTGACCCAAAAAAAGAAAGAAACACTTTCACGATCATTCACACATAATCACTGTCTTTGCAGAGGTGCTCAGATATGACATTTTAGATGTCACTTAAACAGCCAAATCTCAAACCCCTCCTTTAACCCTTTGAGGGTCGAGACCCCTCCCCCAAACTCGTTCTCGGGGTCAAAAAATTTTTTGAAAAAAAAAAAAAAAATTCTTAAAAAATTAAGTATAATGACACCAAAAGTATGAAATTTGAGGGGAAAACTTAGGGAATTATGCTCTTGTGAATTTTGGGCGGTCTCGAAGGGGGGCGATTTCACCCTTTGAACCCTTTTTCGGCCAATTCGACTCTTGCTGTACAAGCATATATAGGTACCTGCCTCTGGGTTTTCTTATTTCCTTTACTAGTTTTTGTTCTTGTTTTTTTCCCTCTTATATCCATGGGGAAGGGAACAGAATTCTTCCTCGTGGTTGTGGTTTTAAGAGGCGACTAAAATGCCAGGAGAAAGGGGGCTAGAAACCCCCTTTCTTATATATATTACAAAAATTTAAAAAGGAGAAACTTTTTTTTTTCCTTTTTGGGGCCACCCCCCTTGATAGGATCGGGGTTTATTGAAAGAAGAAAAATTTTTTAAATAAGTTAATCCAGGAAATCTTACTCTGAACGGATTCGAATGGGTAGTACACGGACCCCAAAGTTAAGCACTGGTGACAGAGCTGTCAGATGGTCGGGAAGCCTTTTGCGAAAGCAAGCCACTAATGCAGAGGATTCTGCTCATGCATCAAAACGTTTAGCAGGTTAGTTAATGGTGAATAATTTATTTTTTCTTTTTTTATATTTATCTTGTTCATTGGTATGTTTTTTCATTTTTAATTTTGCCGGCTAAAAAATATTATTACCTCACCTTATTTCAGAAATTTATAGCTTGGCTGGAATTTAATGGTAAACAATACCGATAGGTTGGTGGGGAAAGCAATAGGCAACAGTTGGGAACTTTTTCCCAAAACGCTTCGCCTACACAGTGGGTTTCTTCTTAGTCAGAAAGTGGCAGGAGCGGGAATGTGAAGCGATGTAATCGTCCGTCACCCTTAAAGTCGTGATTTGGGGGTTGTAGTCCCTCAGCGGGAGAAAGTTCCAGACATGGAAAAAACTCTTCCCCAGGCGAGGGATGACAACCTCAATCCAGACTTTAAGGGTGAGGACTGATTACATTGTTTTTACATCCCCTTCCCTGCTACTTTTGTACCGACTAAAGAAGCCTCGTTGGGAAAAAACGTTTCGAATAAATTGCCTAACTTTGCCTTGTGTCTTACCTACGCTTGTACTGTACAAGCTGGACTCACATAGCCTGGACCAAACCCTCTATAAAGTGAGGCCCTACAATAATCGAACCAAACCCTGCTTTTAAGGGGGGCCTACAGTAGCCCAAAACTAACCTGCTTATAAGGGGTTTTACAGTACCCGGAACCCCAAACCCTGCTGTATAAACAGGATTCTGCAGTACCCCTGAAACTTAACCTGCGATAAACGGGGGGCCCAACAGTAGCCCAGGCCAAACCCTGCTGTGTGAATATCATGTGAAAATTTTGTAATCTAAGATAGAATGAGGTGCGGGGTTACTAAAAGTTTTTTAATTTGTGGGCAAAATGAGGACAGGGGGGTGTAAAAATCTGTGGGGGAAGGAAGGTGGAGTAAGGGGTCTAAATTTTTTTATTTTATTTATTAAACACTGGCCGATTCCACCAAGGCAGGGGGCCCGAAAAAAAAAAAACTTTCACCTCATTATCCACACTGTTTGCCAGAAGGAGTTTTTTCCTTCAGTTTTTAAATTGCAACATTAAACCCCTCCTTCAGAGTGCAGGCACTGTATTCCCTACTCCGGACAAGCCCGGGCCCTGCCGGTTTCCCGAATCCCTTCATAATTTTACTTTGCTCACACTCCAACAGCCCAATATTAAAAACCTTTGTCTCCATTCACCCTATCAAACACGCTCACGCTGCCTGCGGGGAAGCCCAAACCCCCTCGCACAAAAAAACCCCCTTTACCCCCTCCCTCCAACCTTTCCTGGGCCCGCCCCCTACCCCATTTCCCTTCCACAACAGACTGATACACTCTTGAAGTATTCTGTTTCGTCCATTTTTCCACATGTCCAAACCACCTAAACAACCCTTCCTCACCCCCCTCTGGACAACAGTTTTGGAAACCCCGCACCTCCCCCTAATTTCCCAAAACTACAAATTCCTGCTTAATACACCCACACATTCCCTCAACATGACTCTCCACTGCCTCCAGCCTTCTCCTTGTGAAACATTCACACCCATGCTTCACACCCATTAAGAGTGTTGGTAAAAAATTACCTCTACTTTCCCCCTCTTTCCCTCCAGGACAAATTTTTGTTCCACAAACTCCTAATGCCCCACAACCCTTTTCCCCTCATCATTTTATGATTCACCTATCTTCTTTAACCCATCGCTGACATTTTTCCCCCCCAAATATTAAATCATTCACCTCCTCCAAATTTTCTCTCCCCCAATCTGATATCCAATCTTTCACACCAATCTTTTTTGTTTCCTCAAACCTTACTCTTTCCTGTTTTCCCTTTTTAATTTTTCTTCTTTCATCCTACCAAATTCATCCCCCAACCTCTGCAACTTCTCCCGAATCTCCAAAGCCAGGTCTCACCAAGAGAAATGTGCAACTCCACTTTATGGTGATTTTTTATCTTTTAACTCCAAATTATAATTACGTAGTCTATAATTTAATAGGAAAATGGCTTATGTAATTTTGGGAATCTCCGACGTATATTGTTTTTACCCCTGACAGGCATCCCGACAGTCAAAGATAATGACTACTGGGTACATGCCAACAAACCCTGAGTCGGGAGGAAAAAGAAATGGGCCCGAGTTTTTAAATTTTTCTCGAAAACCCAAAAGCAAAAGAATTCAGGGTTTGGTGACAATAAACATTATTGCCTAAATAAGTAAAATGTTGTCTGTTGGTATAAAAACCTTTTTTGGTGTGAGATTAGAAAATGTTTTTAAACTTTTTCACTTTTTAAAAGTTACTGAAAATTAACTTTCTTTCCCCCCGACATTAAGTAATAAATAAAACTTTGGTTTTAAGTACTATCATACCTTTAATTTTTAACACCATCAAACTTCAATGAAATGACCCAAAAAGAGGAAATATTTTAATGTACCCCTACAATTTTCGTCTTGCCAGAAAATGTTAACTTCACAGTTTAGATGACCCATCAAACTGCAACTCCCCCCCCCACCCTTCAGGTGCAAGCAGTGCTTTTCCCCCCAGTTGAATGTGACGAATTACTGTTTCGAGCATACTCTGTATTTTGGGAAGGGGGGGGGATGAGGGTGATTTTATGGTTAGCCTATTCTGTACATAGATTCCCTACTCATGAATTTCCCAAATTAAAAAATTCCCATTTTTGAACAAGGTCCACAAGAAAGTCTTTTAAAAAAATTTGTTTTTTCTTGTGTTGTACACAGTTACAGGTGTGTGATGTTAAAAATTTCTTGTACCCTTGTTTTCATGGAAAAAAAGTTTTTGTGTTTCAGAAAATCTTTCTAAGTTGGAACAACAGAAATGTATTTATTCATTACTTGGAGACCCCCATGTTTGTTATTTTTACAAAATGTATTCCTTCCAACTGC